TTCATTAATTGTATACCTGCCATTTAATTAACAAATATGATCATTGATATTATATTTTTTTTTAAATGAATTGTTTTTAAAGCTTTCATTGTTGCAGTTCATTGATATTTTCTGACTGTTAAATAACATACATATCTAATCAAAATTACTGCAACCGTTGATTGATAAAATAAGAAAGTTTCATAAATGAACCTTACTTGAAAAAAATAAATAAGAATTGGGATTTGCAGAAGATTAATAAAATCCTTGAAAATATGACGGAACAATTAATTCTCTTTCTGTTTGGCATCCTTCAACCCTACAGTATACATCGTTTAAAATTTCGAAACTAAAGTTATTAATCATTTCATTTTGTCACTATTCTAAGTCTGATTTTTGTGGAAATAATGCGATTCCTAAAAGTATATAACAGTAATTGCTTTAGAGTCTTTTTGAGTATCAGTTAGTTTTGCTAACCATACTGCTGATTAAAACGATTGCAAATATTATACTTCATATGCATTGCACAAGAAAAGACTTCCATGGTATGTAATGTATTTAGAGGAGAGTGTATTTCGATTACAAACAAGATAGGCTTTTCTTCTTCATGACAAGGAAGTGCATTTCACATGAAAAGTAATCTCTGTCAAATTCCAGTTTCTACTTTTTCATGAATCAATAGTGAATCTTTCTAACATTTCGAAAAGTAGTTCTTTTAAGATTTAACATTCTACTTTCTATGCATAATCAACCATATTTATATATTATTGAATATTTTGATAAATGCACGAATAATCTCATTATTAACTCATCTATGATTCTATTCAGAGACTCATTTAAAAAAAATAAGTAATATATGTTGGTTGTATAAATAAATAATAGTTTAATTAAATGGCTCTACTAATTCTGCATAATATTCGATTGCCCTAAATATTAACTATATTTGATCATTAACCGTAATCATTTTACTTTATTTTTTGTAGTTTCATGATTTTAATATATACATCATTAAAATTATAATTATTTTTTTTAATACTTAGATTTATTTAAAATAAAGTATTTGGTAATTTCATTTCTTTATGAATAATCCTTACTTTCAGTCGAATTTCAATTTTCAATAAAAACATATGTAGAGTATTATTTTTTCCAATATAATACCATCTATATATATATATATATATATATATATAACATTACGTTATATATTTATTTATTTACCATGTGAAGTTCACGTTCCTTCTTTTTTTCTGTTACATGTTCAATTTTAATTGATAGCTAAATTTTGAGCATTTGTTTTATTTGTTTCAATCAATTTTTTTTAAAAAAATGATAGTTTTCAAAAGTGTCATGAACACATGATTCTGTGTAGTAATCATAATTATGCACACGTGTCCGGTGGTGATAAGATAGATGAGATAGTTAAATGTATCACTCATAAATATTTATTTTATAGAAAAAAAATTAACAAATACTTAAAATTTATATTTTAAAGCTTTAAACAAAGATAATAAGGTAATAATACGTTAATTCATCAAAATCTAATTTATTTTTTAAATTAACTGACAATCTCAGCTGATATCAAGTAATCTATGATAAAAATATGCATTTACTTTAGTTAAGAAAATCTTTAAAAAAATTATTATGATTATTATAAAAACTCAGATTTAAATCCTCAGGATGTTAAACGAATTTGTTCAATTTGTTTCAGTGTTGAATGTTTCAACTTTTTTGAATATTATCAATAATTCATTGTAATATTCATTACAAGCTGAAGTGTAATTACTAGTTCAATGATTTTAAGGTGATCATTTAGACTTGACAAAATAGGACTAACATTTATTAACAATTAAGAAATTTTCCCCAATCTCTTACTGATTATTAATGATTGGACAAATTTTGAACTAGTGTTAAAACCCAATAATTGCGATGAATCATGAGATCATAATCGTGAAAATTAATACACTTGATTTTATAATGTTTGTTGTAACCGCTTTACATAATCTCTTAATATCCGATATGGATGTTCCATTGTAAATGAAAACTCATTTTACGGAATTAACGAATTTCGCTTTCCTTAAGTTGTTAAGTTGAGTAAGAATATGCTTTAGTGAGAAGTACAAAATACTGATCTTTTGTTGCTTAATACTTCTGTTCATGAGTGAACTGGAATGGTGATAACTCAATCAACTCAAAACACACAATAGTGAAACGTGGTAAGATGTTAAATTTATAGCTACGAACACATAGTTTTACTATTGTCGTATGGTTTATGTTCTATACAGCGATAATTAAGATGAGAAATTTTTGATGACTGCTCTGTTAGAAGTCAATTTTTATTGATAAACTTGCTTTGGTATATATTCGAGATCTGAAATATTATTTATTTAGTATAGATAAGGGTTTACGCATAAACACTGACACTGGGATGTATAGACATCCAGTTGACGACTCTCAAAAAGAAAAAATTGTTCATCCTTCATTTTACTTACCATTCTTGGGATATCTAAAGACATCTAATCACATTTTTGGTGTTTCAGTGTACTGAATAGTCAATCGCTGCTTTAAAACTTTAACTAAACAATACTTTTCTGCCAAGATTTTAAAAATTCCTTTATATTACTATTTATTATTGTATTGTACCGTTCTAATAAGATTCTATCTACCTAAACTAAATGCTGAATTGTAAGCGGAAACATTTATCGGCAGTAACTGTTCATCCCTTTCTTGAATGCTTACACACGGATTACTCACTAAAATTTATCAAATTCACTTAAAATAAATAATCAACTGAAATACAGAAAAATACCGTACGGTATTTGAAGTAATCAAGTAAATAAAATCACAAAATATCAATTTCTATCTAGCTAGCGGTAATATTAGTTACATAATATGTGTGGTCATCTATTGTCTATACCTATGTTTGTATAAACTAATCGAGTAAATAAAATCACAAAATATCAATATCTATCAAGCTAGCGGTAATATCCGTTACATAATATGTGTGGTCATGTATTGTCTATACCTATATTTGTCTAAGACTACCTTTGTATTATATAGTGTGATACCTTACAGCTCCTTTAACAGTTCATTTTTCAAATGACAAACCTGTTTACTACTACTACTACTACTACTACTACTACTACTACTACTACAATTAAAAATATCACCATTGTCATTACAAACACTTGTACCGATGACTTGTAGTAGTAGTCGTAGTAGTAGTAGTAGTAGTGCTGTGCAATAATACGTTTGATGTATTATTATTTCATCACCTACTTTGTTTTCAACAATTTTCAATATGCTCAAAATAAAAACAAGTAAAACGATACACATTTTTGTCATATTACCGAATTCCGATATCGTCAAATAGTTGAGAATTTTATTTTCAATGTTTAATTCAAACAACATTAAATTATAAATAGATTCCTTTATAGAATTTATTTTTCAAAAGAAACAAAACATTTTTTTCTACTATGTTAACTGACACACACTTACGCTATGAATTAAAACTATTTCATCTTATTGAATATCAAAGTGTTAAAAAGAAAAATGATCTTTCTTACATTCTTACATTTTTTTCCTTTAAAACAATACAAAGCTGATTAGAATCATCAAAGCTTTTACATAGTTTAATAATAATAATAATCATAAAAGATGCCTAAACAATTACTCATGTATTTTTTTAATAATTATTTAAACAATGTTATGGATAGTATCGATTACACACAGTGTCATTTAAAACGAATCCAAATGTCGTACAATTATAGAATTCAAAGACATTTGTAAATTGAATTTCAATTGATATTGTTTGGTTGTGAATAAGTTTTTTTAAAATATTTAATTAATAATTGAATGATAGTTGCAATTATTGCGGAAAATGAAACACTTTCATAGATCTTCCTTATTAACTGTTGGTGTTATTTTCATGGGAGCATGGTCTTCATCAGAATGCGTAATTAATACATGCAACCAACTGATTGATTACCACGTGATGACTGATATTCTATTTGTCTAGCTGCTTAGTACTGACTGATCAAGATTTATCGACCGATTTGTGAAGTTGCTGCTAATCTGAGAGATTCGAATGTCTACTATATTAGATAATTTGAATGGGTTGCTGCTCTTCATTGAATTTAAACTTTTGTCATTCAGTTTCATAGCTTGAGAACAGACAGCTCGTGGCAGTCCTCTATGAATTCAGTGCCTGAAAATTACATGTATGCCTAATTGAAATGTCTAAATTTTCACTAGACTTGAGTCTAGTATTTTATGCCCACTACCTCAAACCAAGTAACACTAATTACCGCTGTTCATAAGAGATTAAATTTATGATATTTAGGCTTTTGTTAGTTAACCATAAGAATTTTAACCCAATTCCAATACAATCTCTGTATTGACATGGTTCCAGATTACAGAATTAGAATATTCATATGGAAGGAAATAACCAGTAAATATAAATGATTATTACTTATAATGTCCTTTTGAAAGATTTATGTACTTTAAACACGAATTTCATCAAAAACTAACATCACTGGATAAGTCAATAAACTTTTTCAAAGTATTATCTTTGAATCTTAACATGGTATACTGTAACGTGAAATAAGTCAAGCTTTAAATAAATTTTCATTTAGTACATACTACTGACAAAATCATTTATTAAAGTAGTAAAAATCGATGCAATTTTTTAGTTATATGTTAGTTTATGCTTTAAATGTGTGCCTTGTTTTCTTTTTAAATAAATTATAATTATTTGATGAAAATAAAAAAATATATATATCATATATCTGCTAACTATTTAACACTTTCCAATAAAATGTTGTTTTATACAGCACACTGTAAATTTAAAAGCTTACATTTGTTATTTTCAATTCATCACTTTTACTGATATATATTCACAATAAAATTTTAACTAAAGAAAATTTTCTCCGTTTTTTATTTAATTACTGATGATGTTGTTGTGTTTGAAACTGAATAAATACATGGTTTTTATTTTATTGTATAAAATCTCACTTAAACAAAAGGCGAATGGTGTTCGTTCAGGACGAAGTTCTGGATTTGATGAACGTTATTCACCACAATCATATAGACGTAGTGGTAAGTTGTGCTTTTTTTGTTTGTTTAAATTGATTTTCAGTTTTTTCGAAAAATAATGACGATACAAAGATCTACTCAAAATTGGTTAATAAATTAACTACTATAACTACCAAGTTATTTATAAGGAGAATAAGTCATAATTTTTTTAAACTAGATTTATGGGAATTAGTTTTTATCGCACGTTGAAATCATCAGTCAATCATTGTTAGATCACCATAAGAAACCTGAGAGCACTGTACGGCCGTTTCGTCCTGGTATGGGACTCATCAGCAGTGCGCATTCAGGACTCCTACATTTCTAGATTTATCAGAGTTAGACATCAACATCATTGAATTCCGGCCTAGTGGTTCAGAGGTTAGGCATCCGCGCAAGATCGAGCGTCCAGGTGTAGGAGTCGTGGTTACGCACTGCTGATGAGTCCCATACCAGCACGAAATGGCCGTCCAGTGAGTCCAGGTTTCTAGTGGCAGTCTAACAATGATTGATTGATGATTGCAATATGTAAGAATAAGTTATAGTTGGGCTACGCCTTATAGACTTTGAATTTCATGGGTGATATCAAATCACGACGTGAGACTATTCTTTATTTAACCACACAGATTCAATCGTTCATTGCATAATTCCACAAAATATACATAAGTTTGATCTACAACCCTATAGATACTCAAAAGGAATTCTTGTTTTTATCGTTGTCTTGAAAAAAATTTCAATTACTTTTATTCAAAAAAGATCCTGATAACAAGTAACTATTTTGAAGAAAGACTTTAAGATCAACATCATAAACTTACTGTTATACTTGAAAACTGAAATTATGATCTTGTTCAATTTTCTCATTTTCCTGGTCAGTTTAGTATCTGAATCATTCCGTGCAACAATAACTCATGAACTAGTAATTTTAAACAGTTTTGAAAACTTTTTTGATTGATTCAAAGTATAAACAAGACTATATGCTCATAAGTGTAATTTTCGATCTCCCCAACCGCATAAAACTCGTTTAGAAACTCTAATCCTTACATAATCGCAACTTAGATTTCAAGCAAACAACATATTATCACGTTCTATTCAGGAGAATTATCAATCAAATTTTAACTAATTTCTAAAAATAATAGATCCTCAAATATCAACCTCATATAAATTTTCCTAAACTGACTTCTTTTTGATAATAATTCATCAAATTCACACAACAACCATAACATTCGCAACACTATTACCAAAATTTGACTTGTTAATTGAACACTGAATGGATAGTTAATCGTAAAATGATAATTTTCTAGTCTCTAAATATATAGAAAATGTAGGATTTATCTGGAACTTTGTGACTCAGCGTAAATAAATTAAACCATTTATGAATAGTACAGAAGAACAAAGCAAAAATATTTAGCATAATCAATATAATGAACATTGAAATGAAACGAAACGACTCGTTGTTAAGCAATAGTCGGAACGAAACACCATGAATGGGTACGGTAGCTTTATCATACCGTCATGGTACAACAAAAGAACTATAAAGAGTCTTAAGACAATACAAAATAACTAATGCCCTTCGTGGTGCTTTAGTTCATATAAAGAATAAGATCCTCTTTACGTCAATACAAAGCTGTGTCTACAAATTAAGGTGCATCGATTGTGATGCTGGAGAGTCATCTTGTGAAACTTTGACTCGAGCTAAAGAACAACTGAGTTACACAAAGAAACTACCTAATTATTCTGTAGTGCTTGTAAGACTCTAAATTAAACTAGCAATAGCATTACATGCCCTCTTCAATAAACACTTTAGAGCATATTAAAAATATCAAAATAATGCAAACGGGCTTTTCAAACTACATAGAAAGGTGAGTAACTGAAGCATGCTTTATGATTCTAAACACTACAGTCCTCGATAGAAAAGAAAATCTTGTTAATCATCAGACTTTGACTATCTATCCAAGCTACCGTTTTTCGCATATCATACTGTTATCATACATACAAATTCTTCTACATAATTTCACATAGCAAATGTCACAAATCTCATACCCATCGACACACACAAATACACAAGCATATTTCATGTAGATCACCTCGACCGGAGTGATATGACATTGACTTCGTTAGAGCTATTTTTTGATTGATTCACTGATTGTACTTTGTACTGTTTAAATTTGGGTCAATCTAATTTGTTTCTTTACTTCCTGAAGAAGTAGTGGCTTACACTGAGTAACGAAACGCCAGAAAACTTTTTTTAATTTTTCTACTCATTTGGATCCTACAAACAGATCATTTGATTTTGGAAAATTTCAAGTTTATTTCATTTCTGTTTGATCTGTTACAAAGAAACTTTGCTTGAACATTGATATATTTTTTTCTTCAACACAGTAATATACCTCCTCTAAAGCCATTTACGTGATTTCATTCCTACGTCAACCTTTGCGTAGTCATTTTAAGAGTGTTCAAAGTGTAGATACGTGTTTTATGACTAATTATTCATCAGAACATATAACTTATTACTTATCATCAATACAATTTCATAAGATAGCTGGCTTCATTTCATTAAATGATGAACACTTTGTTATCTACCTATATATATATATATATATATATATATATATATATATATATATATATATATATATAATTATTGAGTTCGTCACTTGGTATGCTTGAGGCTATTACGAATTCACCTTAGTCGATAAACGCGAACGAGACAATTACCAGCGTCCAGGTAGGCTACCTTCAATCCCTAACTAAAGTAAGAAATCTTTGTAAGCGTAGAAAGTATATTCTACAAACACCCAGCAATCACAGTACCATCAAGCATACAACTCTCGTTTATTTGTACATCAGAGAAACGTCTTTGGGACAGTTACGAAAATAGCATACTAAAACACACGGCAGCCAATCACAGCCATGGATTTTCCTGGTGGGAAATGAAATCTCAAGGTCAACTGATCAACTCATGCTGGCAAACGTGAAATCCAAAATAAAGCATTTATCAAGCGAGTTCTGGGGATCTAACATCCCCAACAATAATACAACTGTCATTATTTAAGTCAACAGATCCTAACAGTGTGATATTTCAGATTTCAATGAGTTATTCTTTTTATTAATCATTTAACTCCTTTTAGTATCTGTAATACTCTAACTATATATATATATATATATATATATATATATATATATATATAACTAATGTACGAAGTACAGTCACAGAAACGTGTGTTATATTCATTTGGAATTATGTTGTTTCTTTTATTTTAGCTCCATACTATAATAGTTATACACCACCACCTACTCGATTTGGATTAAATAATCAATGCACTTCACCGCATACTTTTTCAACTTCATCAGGTATAGTCAGTTAGTTGATTGATTGATTGATTGCTTGATTGATATAAGTTGTCATCGTTTAACTTTTTTTATGTGAGTTTTATTATCATGACTATTCCTGTAATTAATATTGTATTATAATTTGAATAGTTTTAATAATTATATTATGTTGATCTATGGTAGGATAGATTAATTTTGTGATAAACGTAAAATATATATATACATAAAACGATACACATATTTAAGAAAATCAAGAATAGAACATTCTTAATTGTTATAAACATCTCAATACAATACTTTTGAAATTATTTCTGATAGTATTTCTGATGTGTTAGTCACTGTGACAATCACTTGTTCAGGAGAAAAAATACTTAAAATATGCCCTGTTAAGCTGTTTTATAGATTTGTGTATTCTATATTATGGAAACATACTCTAATAGAATGTATAATAAGGAATTAAACCAGCTGTTTCTAACTCTCTATGCACGGCTTAGTCTCCAGAGCGATTTGAACATCTTTGTTACTTGACAGCCGATAAGAATTGAAAGAACAAGATAAACTTAAAAAGCGATTATCGTATACATAATGGAAACCATACTGTTTTGATTTCTAATAATGTAAAAGCCTAATGATGGATAAGCTACCTTATTGTGGATGTTATGGTTGTGGAGTTTTCATTGTACATCTTCTGAACAACATCATTGGCACAAACTTCTTCAGATAGAAGGGAAGTATTGGAATTTCTCCACGTTTGACCTGTTGCTTGTTCTGCTAACCTCGATTTTGATTGGTTGCTGTTGATCGTTAATCTGTCGTTGTTTGCACCTTTGTTTTGATTGTATCCCCCTTTTTGATCTGTTTCTTGATCGTATATCGCCTATGATCCTTCTGATTGGTCCATAAATTGGGTCAATGTCGATGTGTTCGTTGACTACTGACTGACTTGAGTGCCAAGCTTCTAAAAATTCTCTAGTGCTCTTTGTCTTCCATCCACCCAGTATTTCCACATTGTCCCAATCGAATGTATGTCCATAGTTGTCAGTGTGTATTGATATAAGTGAAGAATTTTCGAGGCGTTTTACTGCTAATTGATGTTCACTTAAACGGAGTCGATGAAGAGGCCGTCCACTTAGTCCTATGTAGTATTTTTCACAATATGAGCATTTTATTTTGTCAATAATATTTGGTTTTTCTTCCATTGTCATTTTGTCCTTTGGTCTACATCAAATTGATTAAAGTGATTCTATTGATTTGTGTGCTATAAGTTCTGATTTGTCTTTTATGTATCGTAGAATGATCCTGCACTTGATTTCGCTTCTGTTGACGGTTTTATTGATGAAGTTGCATGAATAGCTGTTTTTTGTAAGATAGTCATCAGATGATTTCCTTTGTTTTTTTTGCACTTCAAGTGTGCTGCAGTATGTCTTCGCTCTCTTGAAAAACGTTTATACGTAGTTGATTTTGTGACTTCTTTTGTTATTGCTGCTGTAGTTGAGAATTACCTCTGTGGTTGATTGCTATATCATCTAAACATCTGCTAACTACAGTTTCAGCATATAAAAATTCCGGTGTGAATTAACTTTCTCAAACACCAAATCAATTGTGGTTGGAAGAAATAAAAAAAAAAGAATTATTTTCGTTTTATTGTTTAACAAGCATTCTCACAAAAATATTATCACTTTTGCACAAATTAGAATGTTTAGAAGATCTTTTCTATCAATGAAGTAAATTTATGGTATTTATTATTAGTTAAAGATCTATCAAATTCAGTATACTTATTTCATAATTATACTGTTCACCACAATTTCCTACCACTGGAAATAAAGATAATCGGGCAATACCACGATTTGATGAAAGTTAGACATATATAACATTGTATTTCACCTGAGAATTCTAGACGTTGAGTTCAAACCTTGGTCATGAACCTCTGGATGCATAGTGAAAAGAGGGAGACTGCTGTCCATCCTTTCCCCGAGTTTCACTGAAATCCTAACTTAGATTATTTTATGTTGTTCTATATACTCTTTAGAATACTTCAGTTATGAATGTTTATTTAGTAATAGTTCTCTCTTTGTACAACTTTATGGGCTTATTTTTAGTGTTTCTAGTTGTTATTCTTCTCTATTATTGAAATTAATATGTATTTTTTATATATGAATGCAAAAAATGACATTTCACTTTTCTAGGTCTAAATTCTAGATCATTATCACATAGTAACGGATGTCATCTGAAAATCGATTCAATCAATCATCATCATCATTATGATCAAGGGCATACACCACCACCAAATCATAATGGACTTAGTCGATCTGGTTCTTGTCATTCAATTATTATTACTCCTACAGGTAAGATATAACAAACTATGTATTTAAAACAATATCTACATATATGTGCTTGTTTTAATTGTGTTCGTTTACATTGCACATCGAGCACAGAGTTAAGACTAATTATATTTTCTTATCTAATGTTATTTATTTTAACTTCAATATAATAATTCTTAACACAGAGATTTTTAGGAATTCGATGAAAAAATACAACAAAACCCTTATATGTACGTGTGGTTGATGAATAACTTTCTACACATAGAAATCAGGGATCACTCATTGACCCAGAGGTCAGGTGTTCGCGTGCAAAAGCGGAGGTCCTGGGTTCGAATCCTGAGAAGTGCAGGAGTCGTGGATGCACACTGCTGATGAGCCCAATACCAGGACGAAACGGTCGTCCAGTGCATCCAGGCTTCTAATCGTGGTCTAACAATGACTTCTTCATCATTTCATGCAGAAACAACGATCTCCATAACTCTAATTGATGAATACCTTTCTGTTGGTTTCAGCGAATAGTTAATTTAGTAAGAGTTATCAAATCAAGACTTAATTATCTATAAGAGTTTACTAAAATGCTATATTCGACTTATGCAATCACCAAAACATTAACGGGCATCAACTGAAATTGTATCAAAGCATTGAGTGAATAAATTTTGAATATAAATTTCAATCATTCAACTAATTAACTTAAGACAAGTATAGCATCTTAAGAAAATTAGATATGAGAGATTCTGTAGATACTTTATTTGAAATAAGTAAAAACTGCCCTGAATGATTGTTGTGTTTTAGTAGAAAGAAGTAAAAGCTAAAGTTACAAATTATTAAATTTCAACTCAATGATCTGGATAACTTTCGCATCAAAAAAATTTCAATAATCTATCTGTTGGGAAAGTTTAATTCCCAGAACTCACTTGAAAGAAGGCCTAAATATGGATTTTTGTGTTTACACGCATGGGTTGATCAGTTGACCTTGAGATGACATTTCCCACTATCATTGGTTGATGTATTATTTTAGTAAGCTATTTTGTGGCTGTCCCAAGGATGCTTCTATCGTGCATAAATAAACTCAATTTGTGTGCTCGTCGACCTCGTATTTTCTGGGTGCATGTGGAAGACACTTTCTACGCCTTATCAAGTCTTCATGATATAGTTAGCAAGGCCGAGGACAACCGCTTAGAATAGTCTATAATGTCACTGTATCATTTTTTTCGCTTCCGTTTACCGAGTAAAGTGAACCCGTAACAGTTTCAAGCATAGCAATTGACGAGCATATCACTAACAATTGTTTTTAGATTGTTTCTGCTCTGAGAATTGTAAACAGTAACCACATATTACTTAACATGATACAACAATGAAAAAAAATTCATTTGAATGAAATAATAACTTTTTATTCTGTCAAATCAAAATGCAAATATCAAATTTTTTTAATTTGAATTCAATCGTTGTAATTTTAAATGATTCGAAATCATAATCATAAAAAATTATAGATTTACAATTGTAAATTCCACTACTTCATGTTAACATAACAGTGTCTTCTCCTCAGCGGAACAATTTGAGATGTAGACTGTTCATTCTGATGGAAAATATTGCAAAATCTACGTCAAGTATTATGTAGACAGTAATATTGATCAACAGATTTTAATCAGCAGTGAAGACTAAACACATACAGTTATGTAAATCTATATGGATATCTCAGTATAACAGATGGTAAATGGTTATTCAGACAATTGAATACTGACGTCTTTGAATATGACAACACTAGGTAACATCGGTTTGAATTCCACTATCAATATTAGCTGTGTGAAAATCGTGGTTACTGCTCACCGTTGAGTGTCAACTATTACAAATCCTAGATCACTGACCAATCGCCTACAAACACTCAACAAAGTCTATGTATTCAAATCGGTCGATTAGAATTCCTCTCCATAAGGTTCCTTCAACTAATAGCATAGATATCCGCTACATGAAGCTGCAGTACTACGGAATAATTCTGAATTATTTGAAATTTTCTTTGAAAAATGTATCCTTGTATTTATGGATGGCCATTCATCACTTGACAGAACTATTTATTAACTCAAATAGGTTTCTCTTCCCTAACTTTACAACGAAATCCTTACACGAATCAACAACTACATTCAATCACAATCTAATGTATTCGTCCATCTAATCGAAATAGACACTGTATCATCTCTAGTTTAATTTTTCTAGTTAACGTATTTTTTTCACTGCTCTATCATAATTTTATATTTATCTGTCATATTGAATGTGTTGAGGACGTTAGATCCCCAAAACTAACTTGATAAAGTTCCTAATTTTGGATTTCATGTTTTTGAACATGGGTTGATCAGTTGACCTTGAGATTAGATTTTCCACTCGGAAAATCCTTAACTGTCATTGGTTGATGTATTATTTTAGTACGGTATTTTTGTGTCTCCCTCAAGGACGTTTCTATCATGTATAAATAAACTCGATTTGTGTGCTTGTCAACCTCAGATTTGCGGATGCTTGTAGAATACACCTTCTACGCCATATGAAGACTTCTTCCTCTACTGACTGGGGCCTTGGGACACTCGGATTAGAGTAGCTTATCGTGTCAGTGTATCATTTTTCTCTACTCTCGTTTACCGACTAAGATGGACTAGTAATAGTTTCAAGCATATCAATTGACGAGCATAATGGAATCGTTGTGCTAATAAATAAACATGATACACTGATATGACTGACATAGTGATGATGATGATGATGATAATGGTTAGATCTATGTTATCAAGGTTTAATTTACGAATGTCTATTACAAATAACCTTATTTTACTTGAAATAATCATTATCTATATTCCTATCTGAAATTAACAATAAAAGCTAATAAATACATCAGAATGATCATCCTACAAGGCATAGATAGATAGATATTTACAAATAACGTCTGTTTTCATGCATTCTAATCGGGAAAACATCAAATTTATTACGTATTGTCTGATGTTAAATAACAGCTATCATCAATATCAATCAGCCTCTGCATATTTATTTTTAAAAAAAAAATTTACTCAGCTCCAAATACATACACGCAATTGATTGATTGATTGCTTTTTTTTTATAGACTCTATTTTCTAAACGACATTCAACATATATATTTCACAATCACCATAGGGAGTGTAGTGCAATAAATAAATGCAAGAAATAAAATAATTATAGAAATTTACAATTTTTCTCACATTACTACATATTTCTAACAATGTCGAATCATTTATTGTTTGAAAATTCTTACATTTTTAAAGTATCTATAAGCCAACTTATAGATAGAGTGATTGAAAACGGATTGCTGTAAGTTCATTGGCCCTAATTATTAATAAAATATCACAATAATAATGAGAATAATTGACTGACTCATCCATAGAATTATTCTAAAATGTATTGATTATTACAATTTTACACTACTTACTATATCAGCAGATTGATACAGTTAATATAGATTGGTCTATGAAAAATGTTATTCAAGGCATTTTAGAAGCTATTTATGTAAGACTGTTTAGTATTAAAATTATAAACACCCATCCCAATTTACTCTAGTCTCAAAGAAGTAGCTCTGACCACTAATCTAGATGAATATTGAAAGATTGATGTGAAATAATCAGTAATTTTCATAAAAACTATTATTCTCTAAGGAAATGACTTACATTGAGTCACATAACAATAGAAAAATTTTCTACAAATATACTATTCTTTTTATTAGTACCAATCCACCCATTAGTGAATTCATTTGAAATTAACCCCCTTAATTACATTCTCAAATGTCCAGTTAACTTTCGTAATTTAGTTGCATAAATATTTATTATATCCAAGGTTGGGGAATCAAAGTTTAGAAGGTTTCTGATCAACAACCTGTTTACAACAGAAGCTTTAGTAGCTTGGTCTAAATAATGAAAAACGATGCATTTTTCTCCTTCAGTCATCTTTCTAACTTTATGTTCTATTGCTTTTTATTCGTCGTCTCTGCTTTTTCAATACCCTTCAAGCAGATGATTATCTTGCATACTTGGGTTCATTGTTTCTCAATATCCTTTTGTATATTATGTGACTTCTCTTTAGCACTTCACTTTAATTATGAGGCAATACTTATATATTTCATGTTGGTAAATGTAGGCTACCTGATTGCAGTCTGAGGGACAACAGTAAACGATGGTTATAAAACTTGAATAACATGGCTCGAAATCGATTGCAATAGCACAGGTGGATCCACTCTTTGTGTTCTCTTAAATACTTGCCTTCTGAATTACTCATAATCTCTATCTTCCTCCTTCTAAATTTATCTCACTGAATTATAATTCTTGTATAATGTCTTCGAACCCTGATCTTCTTCATTATCTCTAATACTTTTACTACTTCTACTACCGTGGGATTTAAACTGATAATTGCATCTCTGTGTTAATGTGGCATGGCAACATGAACTTATGTACGTACGTACGTACGTACGTACGAAGTTCTGCGTTGCAACTGACTGACTAACTGACCCATATATATAAATTATCGGGCTAATGTATTCTAAGTAACCAGTAATACGATTGGACATCATTGCGAAGAAAATCTTGTTTACTGAATTGTTGTAATTTGTGTACAGTATGTCAATGGGTTGTTTCAGTTGTTTAAATACTAACTAGTAAAACACAGATACCATGTAAACCAATATTGAATTATGAATTCCAAACATCATAAAAAATTTTACTAAAACTGTTATAATTTCTAAACAAGTTTCTTGTGTATCATGTTACTTATGTTATGTAATATTCATATTGAAATTTTGTTTATCATTTGCATCGCCTTTTTTACTGGGGGAAAATTCATTCCATAATTTTTTTTCAATAAAGCAAAAACACAACCTGAAGTTTGTGTTGATGATGTTGTATTCAGAAGAACAATCAAATCTCCATAACCATAACATCCAAATCATAGAACTAAACTCCACAATAATCATCATCATCATTTGATAAGTCGAAGTGCACCATAAAAATTTGTTACGCATGCACGTAAACACGCCATTAGATATGCTTGAACTATTACAAGTTTACCTTTGTTCGAAAACGAGAGCGAGGGTCAATGATCCGGCGACACAACAGGCTACTCTAGTCCGAACGTCCCAAACCCCATTGAGTAAAACAGGAAGACTTTAAATGAAGTAGAACCTGTATTCTACAGACATCCAGAAAGTATGAGGTCTGAGCTCAGAAGAGGATGAGGACCCCGGACTAAGGATCCGGGTCCGCGTCCGCGTCATAAAACGTTACAGATAATGCGCATTTGTACAGTTAGATCGAATGGGAAATAACATTGAAATCTGTGACATTGACAGTTAGGATGACGAATAGGAAACAACATTTGAAGTGATATTGATAGTAAAAACGACCAATCGGAAACAACATGGAAGTACGACCATAACGTTGACCAGTAGGAATTGACCAATAGAATTTAGACCTACAGAAATAATTGGCACTTGGTTTATATTTCTTGTACAATTTTTTATATAAAATATTACCAAATGACAAAATTACTTTTCTTTTTTGTTGAATTTTATTCTTTCTTCAGGTTTTCCACCTGGAAGTAACAATAACATTGCTAGTGGTAATGTCGGTTCTACAGAAACTGTGAATGTACCAAGAGGTTCAACGGTTAATCTAAAGTAAGTAGATTATTTTATTGTTTTTCGCAAATATATATATTCAGTTTATTTGAGCCTTCTTTGCTGAATAATCTAGCTAATTATTTGACTTTGATTGTCTTTGTGGACGACACTGTTGACTAAAAAGTGTTTGACTAGCCGGTTCTGATGAGATGCATTGTGATCTTCTCAGAAGTCTGTCAGTTTTATTTGCTTTTATAATACTGTTGAGCAGTTTGTTCTTATGATCGTCAGACAAGTGACTGATTCGTTTTTGTTATACAGATAGGATTTTAAGACTTCACTGATAATTAATGAAGTGAAATAATTTTATCTATGATAAGTGTACTTTGCTGAAATCCATCCAGCATTTTATGAATGATTAACTTATATAGATAACTTCGTATTAACTGTCCTAAAGCAAGTTTCGAAAAAACTATCCAGTGAATAAACGTCCAATCAATTCATTCTATCATAAGGTGTTTTTTGCAATGATTTGAACACAAACTCAATATTGGTCATTAATAAACTGTATAGAAGACCATCTGAAGCCTGATTCACTATTGTATGGTTACATTTCTGAGTGTGACACTGGGTAAGATAGTTTTGAATATGATTGTGCAAATCAGTTATTTAATGATAACATTTACTACACCTTGTTGACAAACTTAACGCGTTCTAATTCTCAATGAATGTATGCCTGTTATGTTCGTCACTAGGTACTCTTGAAGCTATTACGAGTTCACCCTAGTCGATAAACGCGAACGACAATTACTAGCGTTCAAGTAGGCTACCTTGAATCCGAAACTGCAAAACAGAAATCTTGATAAGCGCAGAAATTATATTCTACAGCACCGAGCAATCACACAACTCTCGTTTATTTATGCATCATAGAAACGTCCTTGGGACAGTCACAAAAATAGCACACTAAAATACACAGCAGCTAATCACAGCCTTGGATTTTGCTAGTGTGAAATGAAATCTCAAGGTCAACTGATCAGCCCATGCTCGCAAACGTGAAATCCAAAATAAGGCATTTTATCAAGCGAGTTCTGGGGATCTAACATCCTCAGCAATGCCATTCTTATAATCTATTCAATGACTTGTTAGCCAAGGTGTTTTAGTTTGTTTTGTGTATGCAAGGAAATTTTATTGTATCATATTTTACTTGATAATAATGTTAATACTGTCAAAAAAAACTTAATCTATTCCTATTTTTTTTGTGACAGCTTCCATGGTCATACACATCATAATACTGGATTTGGTGGGGTATGTTAAAAAATAAAAACAATCATTTGTAGTGATTCATATGATAGGCTATGATTTTTAAGAATAATACTTTGATTTGAGTTGAACGATTCTGTGATAAATGTTCTATTATCAGCTTATACTCGTATTTATCACAAAAACTAACAGTCTACTACTACTACTGTGGTGCGCGCTACTTATAAGTAGTATATGACGCGAGTGTAAACGTAATGTCTGGCAGCAGAAGATGGGGGAAGATCAAGAAAGGAAGAGTGAGAACACAAAGGAATTTGTATGAAACGCATGAATAAGGGAAATGTCAGACAATGGATTGATGTTTTGCAACAGGAACAGTCCAGTTCGATATGATGATGGACTGATATTTTGCAAATGAACGATTTACGATATGGTTTTCCAATTTTACTGAGTAACTCTGTAATTTTCGTTAAACACAATCCGGTTGCCCCACCTGTGTTCTCCTTCCCTACAGTAGTACTAGTAGTCCTGATCAATATGTTGTGTCAAATCTCCTAAACTATTGTTATATACTCGTATTTATCACAAAAACGAACAGTCTACAAAAACAAAAACTACTACTACTACTACTACTACTCATACTACTACTACTACTACTACTACTACTACTACTACTACTACTACTACTACTACTACTACTACTGTGTACAGATATTCATTTTTGACGAAAATCAATTGTTGAAGATCATTTTCTTCCCCCCAATAATTTGTATATATTGCTGATTGTATAATCATTTTCATGTATATCTAGATGAACTTATTTTTTTATATATACAATTGATCATGTATATAGTTGACAATAATTAAAGAAGTATTCACCAATAATAATTGTACAGTTGAAATCAGTATCATTCCAAAAAAAATGACCAAAAAGATTCCATACAACAAATCAAACTTTTTGGTTATTAGCATCCATCTATGAAGTATACATTTTTTTTCCTTTAAAATAAAATAAACCACGATTTATGTCATTTTCTATGAATAAATAGAACGAACTAATTTTTTTGGATATTATTATTCGTAAGTGAGAAGGTGGATCTACTGCTCTATTTATTCGTCAACCTATATCAGCCTAAAACTTTTCAGCAAGTTTATTCGTCTAGTTTTGTATTGAAAAGAACGAAATGTTCATTGTTAAATGCGTACACTCTCCACTGTCTTACTATCACTTAAGATATTAAAACTCCAAATGAAATGTTTACATGTTAAAAACTTTACTCCATTGGCTAGTATAATAAAATTTTAGAGGTGTCTATACTTTAAAAAATAAAGTGAACCACTTAAATTACTCTACAAGTGACTAACAGTTTGTTCTGTTGACATGGAATTCGTCTAAAATTATTGTCTGTAACTGTATGACCACTATTCGTATGCTTATTTTGATTGTCTTCTCTGTTAATCTGATCTCTGACTTTGAAGTTGTTTATCCTTTTTTAAAATTAGCTGGTGATAATTTTTATGTGTTCAATGATTAGTTCTTGACTGATATAAAGATTGAAATTCACTTATATGTTTATTAATATTACTATAAACAAGCTTGAATGTCATGATTTTTCACGATCACAATAAGCTTTCACAATTAATATTACAGAACAGAAAAGAAACGTTTGACATATATGAGGATATCGATCATTTACGAATGTTTTCGCTCTCATTCATCATGTTTTTGCATAGTGCAATTTTGATTAAAGACTTCATTTTCATCTCAACTTGTCTGGTGAAAAGAAAGTAAATTTACGTGAAGGAAATAGCTTGAAATATGATCCTTGATAAAAATTATATACAGCATTCACTAACTAAATGCTATAGATATTGTATATATATATTGAATACTGAGAGATAGATACTCTGCCAGCTGATGGATAAGTACACTATACACCATTTTTTTAAGTTGACATATGTTTAATTTTGAAATAAAATAATGAATGGTACAGTAAGTAGTATAGCTAAATCATAATAAAAAAAACTTAACTATTATTTCTACCTTGTAGACTTTCGTTGCTCAATACAGTTATGAAGCAAAAGAAGACGATGAAGTAACTTTCAAACCTGGTGATATCATAGTGAATGGTGAACCTATCACTGAAGGTTGGATGTATGGTACTGTTCAACGAACTGGAAAATTTGGAATGCTTCCATCGAATTATGTTAGACCATATCGTCAACCATGATAATTTTTATTGTTCTTATTTATGATTATGAGAAAAACGTTTCTTTCACATCTTTTTCTTTTTTTATATCTTCAATTCAGGTAGTTTTTGATTTATTTATTTTTAATCTTATAGACATATTTGAATTTCATTATAACACATTGTAAGAGCTGATTTAAACAAAACACCACTGGACAGAATCCGTTAGGAAATAATGTTTTTTTTTATTTAGATATTTATTACTCATCATACTCCACATCATCTCTATATGCACGTTACATAAACTATAAATCTTATAGTGTCTACACGATAGTATATTGTAGCTTACGAGTTTTTATCAAAGAATACATAACCTTTTATTCACTTTACATATGTATTCCTTACAAACTATGCAGGCAGTTTTTCTTTTAAAACAAAAAAACAGTTACAAGTGTACACCCACTTGAAACTCATTCATTGATCATTAATTTATATATCCTTATTGAACATTGAGGTTATATAACATATTCAATTGATATTTCGTCTCTTTCATTATTTAACCTGTCTATCAGCTACTTATAATTTTAATATGCTTTCATGCCAATGTGTTAGTGAGTATCTAAGATTAAAATAATAATAATAACAATAATAATAATGCCATCCATACACAGCTTCATCTTTTTTACACTGTTGTCAATCCTTTAAAGACACATTTCCAAATTGTTTCTTAACTTTCGTTTTCAGACAAAAAAATTATGATTGAATATTGATCTGATGTTGTATATCTACTTATAATGATTATTGATACTACTGAATAACTGCTAAGAAGTTTACTTACTGACATATATATATATATATATATATATATATATATATATATATATATATATGCTTACCTTTATTGCTTATAATGTGTCTTCTGTTTACTAACTGTCATTCTGTTTAACATTCCAAATCATTTTTTCATTTTTTTAAATAATCAGTCATTCAAGAGTCAATATGAAAACATGCTGTCATATTAAAATATTATGCTGCTACATAAATACTTTATATATATATATATATATATATATATATATATATATATATATGATCATAGTAAATGATGTCAAATTATTTCTTTTATAACCTACAACTATTACGATCAACATAAAATATATACAATAAAATGTAAATCTATATACACTATCGTATTTAAACAAAAAGAAATTGAATTTACATCATTTTGTAACTGAGTATGTTGTATGCTTGTTTTGATGATGATGTATGATGGATGTATGATGTATGATGATATATAGTACAACAGTAGGAGGTTAGAAGAAACAATTAAAAATTATTACTATCAAGTGAATTTGTGAATTTAAATCATGATGAAATAGTTTTGTCTTCTCCTTTTTTCTTTTTATTGATTCTTTATTCATTTTTTTTTAAATAAGTGTTTTTTGTTTGTTTGTTTGTTTGTTTTACTACTCAATAATATGAACTTTTGAATCGTTTAAATTATACTTTTTTAAAGTAGAATACTTTTGTATGAATAATCGTTCGATTATTATTGTCATGAATAAGGTAATGCACACATCATACAAACCATCAGAATAAAACTATGTAAATCAAGTGTCAATTATAAAATATATTTATAAGGTGTGAATAGTGACAGTAAGGAATAATTATGTAAACACATAATGTAGTCGTCATAAATGATATACTTTGCAAGGAAATTGTCTTATTTTTAAGAGTGAATAACTGTTAGATGTTGATGGAATTTAAGCATCTTGGATGAAATAACATGTTGCTTACTCGTTTTTAAAATGATTTCAAATGTGTAAAAACACTAATCTTCATAAATCTAATTGAAAAAAAAATCATAAAATATGTTCACGAGTGACGAGCGTCTTGAGGAAATGCTCGGAGTTCTAGTGAGAACATGTGACCGGTGGAGTTCAACCCTGTCGAGTGTAGGCAGTAACTACCGAAGACAAATGGGTGAGGTCGCGCATTATTATGGCTTCTCTTCGTTAACCTCAGATAGGTTTAGTGAGTTCACTATTACAAAGTAAAAGAGCTCGATTAAATAGAAACATTCATCATTAAAACCAATAGTACCAGTGGATGTTTTACTGAACTACTTATTTATCCGCACTTTTCGTACTCACTTTCCTTTTGCGTGATAGCTATCTTGTTTCTGCTGTTCTGAACCTCTTCACCAATTTTCTCTGGAACGATTTCAGTATTCTTTCGATAACACCAAATCTCTTGAAAATATACTCCTTCATTCGGACTTTCCCTTCTTCCCTGTTGTTGGTTCACGGCGAGATAATTAGTAAAGACCAGAACGCAATTGGTTTGTAGCCGTGTTCACAGTCAACGTCGAATCGAGCCACCAATATGTCACGGGGCCACGGGAACTACCTTCATAAGGACTGGATTACTTTTGATATACTGGATCAGATTCAAGCATGAAAATAAAATTTATCTAGTGCGGAAAGCAACTGGACCAAACAACAAGGCAACTGAAACATTCAAGTCAGACTCACTGGTCTATACAAAAGTGCTCTAAGTTCACTTCTAAAATAAATTCAAGAAAGAACATGTACAGTAGACCGGAATAGAGTTACCTGATGAAGATGCAAAGAAAGGAGATTTTGGTGAGTGGCAGTACTACCGAGGCATTGTACAGTGTCCACCAGCAAATGTTTTCAACGGTGTTGTTTAGTAGAATCCAAGACTCAGTAAATACACAGTTTCCGGATCGGCAGGCCAGATTCCGTAAGGATTGATAGTGTAATCACAAAGTCGTGACACTACAGATCATCGCTGAACAACATACTCAATAAAATTCACTACTTAAAATCAACTGCCTCACCATGCGAAAGCATTTGTCACTCTGAATAGTAGATACTCATATTATGGTTTACCTGAGGGATGGTGTCAGACAAGGTTGCTTACTCCCGCCCTTTCCTGTGGTGATTGATTGGATTATGAATACCTCTGCATCTCTGAGAAAGCACAGAAATAGGTGAACAGCTTGGGTGCAACTGGACGATTTGGGCGTCAGCTAATGCAGACGCAGACAGTCAGTGTGTTGTAATAGATTTTGCAGCAGTAGGGTTCAGTATAAACAAAGGAAAATGCTAGACTATAATCGACAGACTGAAAGCAACAGCCAAATTACACACGCTGAAGTATCATGTATTAGGAGTGTTTAAATGATGAATAACCATGATGGTATAATGGTTAAGATTTTAAATCCAGCTGGTTTTCAGCAAACGATGAGGAAATTTTGGAATTAGATCAACCTTATGGTCAGTATTTTGGACAGAAATGTGGATAATGTTCTGTTGTTCTGTTCACAGGTAATTAATCTTACAGAACTATAATTGAAGCATTCACTGTACCTGTTGGCATTCTTCTCCATTGTCTTCCATGGTTTTCCAGGCTGATGTACGACGTGTGTTGTACAACATGCACTTAATGTAAGAGTTATTAAACTGATCTCTGCATCTGCCTAAAGCCTAAAACAAATCCGAAACGAAACAAAAAAGTGAACCCCAGAATAGTTTGTACGAGACTTTGAACACTTAACTGAAACACAAGAAACGGAGCACCAGACTATGTAACCAGAATCACACTTCCGACTCAATTACTTATTTGAAACTAAAAAGTGAAAAACTATAACAGACCACAGTATCCTAAACTTCCAGTAGCGCTGCCTACACAGGAGAATGGGCACAGCAGCAGTACTCATATCCCATGCAGATTGCTAAATCAAAATAGAGACTCATTAATCAAATGCGATTTATTTGGATTATCGGTCTTCTGTTTCAATGAGACAGCTGCCCTACAGATTAATATAGGCCATTTCTATACCTGGTTCTAGTTCATATGCCCACGGCGTCGAACAAATACGTCAATACACTTAAAATAAACTTGAGGTGACAGTGAAACATCGCGGATCGCTTAAGCAGAGAGAAATCGGCTTAACATTAAAACTGTCTCAGAAAAGATAATAGCTGTCTATTGAAAACTAGAAATGCACCTGTTTTCTAATCGGTCATTTTAACGCATACGATTCACTGAATCCTCTCAAATTATTGGAACAAAAACACTTTAAATTAGTTTTCTATGGGAAAATATGTGTAAAGTCCCCCGTCGTCTACTGCAACTGTTTTAAAATTAATGAGAAATCATTGAGGTAAAGAAATATAAGTATGTTTTGACCAGTAAAAAACGCACCCAATTACTGAGAACTCATTATATCATGTAGTAGAGCTAATTATTTTTAATCATCTGTTTCTGAAGGTCACTGAAGAGGCAAATTATCAAGTGCTCGTTTGAGCCACTTTTAGCGTTGAAGGTATGTTGTTGTCAATAGCTTCGTCATGTTTAATTTCACACCAAATTTGTATGTAGCAGACTGTCAGTTGTTTACAGAGGTATGCGCTTTCACGGAAGGTGACAGTAAGTACTCACTAATTATGTCTGTCATCCAATGTTCGGCAATACTGCACGAGCAAAGTGGAAATGAAACCGAACCTCACTATCAATAGAGTAAAATTATGTCCCAAGGTCGGGTAGTAGAATCATTTATGGCAGCCTAAATGTTTGTCTCTGTTTCGGGACCTGCCAAAGTACGAATATTTAGTTTATACATTCAAGCCTTGGTGTGAAACCACCCTGGTTTTCTCGAGTCTGCTGTTCGCGATCTCTAGTTATGAGTCGCAGTTGTATCGATTCCGATATTTCAGACACTTTATTATTTATTCTAATTCCTTTGTAGTTGTCACAAAGAACGTTTTATTTTCTCATATTTGTAAATGATCGGTGATAACGATCATTCAAGTGAGAATGCATTCGGTTCCCAGATTCTACCTAGGATTTCAGTCTATCTTAGTGCTAAAACCAGACCACCACCGTTAAAGGTTCCACCTGCTATCTGTCGATTCAGATTTCCTATAGCCTTTGCAACTTCGTCAAGAGTTGGGGGATTCACATCAACTTACCATTCGGGTTGTTTGGAGATCGTAGGTGACCGAAGTATGGCTGAAGACCAGTTTAGATGCTTCCTAAAGTGTTCTGCCCGCCGATCCAATCTCCTGGGTTGAGAATAACTGACAGTTCCATGTTTTTTCGAGATAGTCTCACTTAGATTCTTACTCCTAATTCCGGTTTCCTTGTAGTTTAAATAGTTGTCTACTGTTATCCATCACCTCTGTCTTCCACATCTCTCTTGCTTTCGCTGTCCACCACTGTTTGCGATCATTGCATAGCCTTCTTATCAGCCTGTGCTTGAGCTCACTTTGTTCCTCATCGTGTTCTGAGCCAGAGGTTATGAGTTCCAGCATCTACCAGTTCAGTAGATACTACTGAAGCCCGCTGCTTCTCCTGAACCTTTTGGTTTATCTCACTGGTAACTATTACTGCTGTTTCCATAGCTTTTTGGTATAATTCCAAGTTACTTCTCGGCGGATTTCACTTACATTGCTTCCTTGCTGTTTTTCATAGTTGCTACTGAAATTTACTGCCAGCCACCATTATTACATCCAAGCGCCAAGCTTTCTGAAGAAGTTTGGAGAGGTTTCCGTAAAATTCATCTTTTATCTCATCAGACCTCCAATCAGTTGGAGCGTAAGCGGATCCACAGAAGAGGCAAAGGGGAGTGTCCCTATCTTTCCGAGTCCTTACTGTCCTGTTTAGTCGGACCGCGCACAAGCGACTGTCTACCGGGATCCAGTCTCAGAACTAGTTCTGCTTAGACCTTAATACTATACATACACCTGCAAGTTCACGGGAAGCGGCAGTATGGCTTCCAGATTCACGATGCATAGATCGCAACAGTTACTAGTGTTGACAAGATGATGTCAAATGAATGGGTTTACTCGAATCATGAGACTGGTTGCGCACCGTCTTTTTACGAAAAGTTTTTTAGGTTGTAGCTCTACTCTTCAAGAGTCCTTACCGCCGAAAAAGGAAATCCGTGAGGTTAGGTGAGGTTTGAAATTTTTAGAGTCCACGTTTTCTAACCCCATCCTTCCGTCTGAGTAGGTAGCATCGCTGCAGATGCTGGTTGTCGGAGTGAAACGCCTTACTACTGTCACCATTCTTCGGTCAGCAAAACAACTACGCCCTCGGAATTTGAGTTGATGTTTTTAGTCTCACCGTCTTCCAGTCGACCTACCTGGAATAGAGGGATGTAAAAAAACAGGTATTCCAGCCAACATAGCTCAGTTGGGTCATTGTGGTAGTCAAGCCTGACTGCCACGTCAAGGTAACAGCTACGGTCAATTGTAGTGATACTTGTATAGCTTCGGTTACCTTTAACCTTGTGTATTCAGTAAATTAATGTCTTTGTGACTTTTAGGCAGCTACAAGGTGTGTATTATAGAGCATCTGGCTGGTTGTCGACCAACGTTAAATTTTAGCAGTCATTTTATTTGTACGAATACCTTGCGACGCACTTATTAATCAATGCCATTTGTGATTGTACTGTATCTGATTTGTCTGAATCTTCCTATCAGATCTCGCAGATATTTCTAACCGTTGACAATCGTCAAATCAGTCATTTTAAGTAGTCTGATATAAAAATGAGTTGTCTCTGTTTATCTCGCCAGCACAAAAGTAAACATTCGTTTTAGGTAACATCTTACTTTCGTGAGTCTCAGATCTTAGCATTTTCTTGTCACCGTTGTTACAATTTCGGTTTTGTGAGATTTCAAGTTAGCATCACAAGTAATGAATATTCTCTGATACATTGGAATATTCATCTTTCCAATCAAATCTGTCTATCTCTCAGAGATGAGGCATTTAGATCACACTCCGTATTTTGAGCTTGAGTCCTTTTAAAAAAAAGTACTGTTTTCTCTACTCCATCCTCTTTAACTGTAAGAAACTAAGAACACCAGTTTATGGGGACTAGTCAAATTACATTAGATCGTATCTTCGTGGAAAAGACTGAACTCTTCTATATCCGTTTGGAGTCATAATATCCTCTACTATGGTGCGCCAATTCATCAAGTAAAATGTCCCTGTATAATGTGTACCAGTGTGGTGCGAGCTACTTATAAGTAGTATATGACGTGAGCGTCAACGTAATGTCTGGCAGCAGAAGATGGGGGAAGATCAAGAAAGGAAGAGTTAGAAAACACAATGGAATTTGTATGAAACGCATGAATAGTGACAATGGATTGATGTTTTGCAACAGGAACAGTCCAGTTCGATATGATGATGAACTGATATTTTGCAAATGAACAATTTACGATATGGTTTTCCAATTTTACTGAGTAACTCTGTAATTTTCGTTAAATACAATTCGGTTGCCCCACCTGTGTTCTCGTTCACTACACCAGACTTTCAGAATTTTATTTACACAAGCAATAATAAAAATATCTTCTGAAGCTATTCTCATTTCTTCAGTGTATGTAGTTTAGTTTGTCTGCATAAGTTTAAAGACCTTCCCCAAATTTTCGCATTATTATAATTTGCGACTTTTTTGGAAAACATTTTCCAATCGGTTAAGATTCCTCTACAAGTTTTAAACGTTTGTTATTATTCTATATATTATCCTAATATGCTATATTACTCATAGTGCTTTTATTCTATTTTCTGCTTTTAAAGGCTATAATACCTTCTTTGGCCAACAGACTGCCTTACTCCAGTTGTTGTCAATCAAAAATAATCTAATAATTTTCTTGTGATGGACAATGAAGAGTTTTGTAGGTTAATAGTGTTTTATTTTTTTTTTGTATTTCTCATGAATTCAAGATGATCAAAAACAAAATATGGAACGAATTGCTGAAGTTGAAAAGCTATTCGGGTTTCCATCTAATGTATATTTATTTTAAATTGTAAAGATTCATTTTTAGAAACTAGTGACTTCAAATCGTGTATTAATTGGAGAAGGTGTTTTGACAAAGATATGTAGAAGAAAACCTAAACTGAGGCATTTTTTCTTATTTAATGATGTGTTAATGTATGGAAAGATTCTTGTAAATAGAAAAGTTGTAAGTTTACAATTTAATTTCATTTTGACATCGATAGCTTCGTAATCCACAATTCATAGATCTCTCTGAGTCCTCTATTAAAAATGTTGTGGACAATGGGAGTAAGTGAAATTTTTATAGTCTATATTTAATTCAGTCTACCGGAATGGATTTTCAATTCTTAGTCCAAAAAAGTCTTTCACTGTTTATGCAAGCACTGCTGAAGAGAAAACACAATGGATGGTTCATTTGAAGAAATGTATCTCATGTTCTCTTTCTTCTAGTAAGTAAAATTACCAATAAAAATACTCACTTTTGTTACATCATATTGCTCAGGCATTTGGAAAAAGTGCATCCAGGTTGTAACTTCTTAGTATTGTGTTAATACATGTAAAGAACATTATGATGATGGTGTATCACATAATATCTATTCATGAGATTGGTCCCATAATTCCCTGGTAAGCTCATGAGTAAAGAGTGTTCGTTCTCCGAAACTGTTCGCGTATGGCCATGCGTATATATCTGATGTCATGGAAGTCCTACATGAAGGGAAGTGTTGTTTAACAAATTGAGAGGACGATAGGCGGAAGTCCTGCTCTTAAATCGGGTTAGTGAATGTACAGGATCCACTTGGGGGGAGTTGGGAAACCCCGATTCCATGCCATTGTTCCACATGGGCTGCAGGATCCTTAGGTAATTCATGGCGTATGAACCTAGTGTTGGTCACCGGTTAAAATGGGACTGCATGTTCTAACGTCACTCCACTGCCTTGTGGATTAGACTTTTTCATCGAAGGCTCGGAGAGTGCCCATCTAAGAAAACTACATGGTTCGGTTTGGATACCTGGAAAAAATCCTAGCCCATACACAAATTCAATTATTTGTAAGGCGCATACATATTTTAGTGCCTTTTTTGTATCAACGTGTGTTTGTTTAAAAAAATAGATTTATGACATTGATGTAACTAACCCAAAAAAGTTCTGCGTTGTATCTGTCTGTCTATTAATTTGAATCTGGTTAAATAAATAATTCTATGATCTGTTTTATTCAATGATTGATTTGTTCCGATAAATTTTCCATTTTAACAAAGCTGTACAAAATGATTCAGTTGCGAAATCCCCAATATGGATTCCAGATTCCGAAGCATCTCATTGTATGGTATGCGGTACTAAAGAATTCAATATTGTTCATCGAAGAGTAAGTTGATTAAAAAAAAATGTACTACATTTATTCTAATTAGCATTGATTTTTTTCTTGAGATACCTTGTTTATTCTTTCATATACTTGGTAATGGATTTTATATTAAATTTACTGAAAGTATATATTGTTCTGTTCATAGAACACATTGCACTTGCCATAGTGTGGTTATTAACTTATGTGCCAACTAAAAGAACTTAAAGTAATGAATATGGAGAAAGCATTTAAAAGATCCACAGTTTTTTATACTCTAAAAGGATTAGTTCATTAAGTTAGAAAGTACTCTCTGACCGTAAATCACGTAGACAGTTGTTTATACAACAGAAGTATATGTGAAACTCTGACCTTTATTCCATTTCTCATAGTTCATGTAAGCTGTTTATTTTCTCTCAATAAATTTCGAAATATATAACAAACGTTTGTTTAATTACTATTCAAATAATTTACGGTGGTTCCATGAGACACTAGTAACCGATGGTTAGAGACCTCGACTGGCATGGCTCAAAATCGTTTGTAATTGCGTGGGTGCATCCACTCTTTGTGTTCCGTCAAATTCTGATCTCAGTTCCTTGTCAACTTTATCTTTCTAAATTTATCTCACTGGATTATATTTCTTGAATAATATCTTTGAACCTTAATTTCTCCGTTTACTGCTAATGCTTCTACTGTCTCTACCACTATGGGATTTGAAGTGACAATTTAGTCCCTGTGCTAATGTGTTATGGCAACTTGAACTGAAGTACGTACGTACGAAGTTCTACGTTGTAACTGACTGACTGACTAACTGACTCATAGTTAATGTTATCAATACAAAAGTAGTAATCATTTCTTCGCTAGCAACGTTTGACGGTTTTTGATTAACCCACTGTATCACGCTATTGATAATTTTTTTACTGAAGTAAATCAATAGCAAGATAGTTTAGAAGTAGCAGAAATAAGATTTAAAATTTATGCCCGTTACCCAAGTGAGTGAATGATACATTAAGTGATAGAAGTAAAAGTCATTGGACTCAAACCATGCGGGAAAAATCAACGAAATACAAATTTTAAAAATCCCACTGCTAGCTAAACTTCATTTCGGAAGAAAATGAATGGTTAATAGAAATGTCTATATCATTAAAATTAAGTCGATATTGTAAGAAGAGAATGTCTTAAATCTTGTAATCCCCTATTGAGTAGTACGCAAGAACATAGTTTCGGCCGCACAAAGCGAATTCTTTTGAAAATGCATCTCCAAATATTCCCTACCTGTCTTTATAAAGGATTACTTACACAAGTTGGTCAAATGTTCAATTTTGGAGTATCTAGTTAATTCTAGAAACTCCGCCAGTAGAACCTTAGGGGCTACTGCCGGTCCCAAGCCCGGATAAAGGAGGAGGGTTGGACATGGGGTTGGCGACCCCATTCCGTCGAAATCTCACTTGCCAAAAAAACGCTAACCAGAAAACTCCGCTTCATCAAAAACTTTCCAAATTGCACTTATAGTCAAAAGAGTCAGCACAAAATGTGTTTATAAAGAATAAACTAATCTATTTCAAGTTTTTATTTAGCATAAGAAATAACAAGCAATTAACTAAAAATACATTTCTAGCAAGTAACCAATAGTTAAAGAATTTTAATGACATGGCTCAAAATTATTTACAATGGTGCAGCTGCATCCACTCCTTGTGTTCTCTCAAATTCTAATCTTCTAAATTCCTCATCATCTCCATATTTCTATTTCTAAATTTATTTCACTGAATGAATAATATCTTTGAAACACTAATCTTCTCCATAACGGCTAATACATCTAATACCTCTACTACTTTGGGATTTGAATCAATAATTGCATCTCTGTGCTGTCGTGTTATGACAACTTGAACTGACGTACATACATACAAAGTTCTATGTTGTAGCTGATTGACTGAAAAAAAAAATACATTTCTGATACTTTGATTTTTAATTTGAAAGAAAAAAAAATAGAGAAAAGATTTTAGATTCTATCATTAAATTCAGTCATATTGTAATTTTTATTGAGATTACACTCTTCTACTGATACTAATTTAATTTAACATAAACTATCAGTTTGAAACATCTATCTATGTATCTGTTAGGTGTTATGCTCGTATCTAGGTATGCTTAAACTATTACGGGTTCATCTTAGTTGAATAACGAGAACAAAACAATGAACCAGCGTCCAGGTCGGCTACTGTGATCTGATTGTCCCAATTGTACCAGCAAGAAGTCTTGATATAGCTCAGGAAGTGTATTCTACAATGAATCCAAGCACTCAAATTGCGTTTATTTATACGCCATAAAGATGTCCTTGGGACAGCCACACAAAAATAGCGCACTAAAATGACACAGTAAACAATCACAGCCTAAGATTTTCGCTGGTGTGAAATGTGATCTCAAGGTCAACTGATCAGTCCATGAAATAAATCCAAAATAAAGATATTTATGAAGCGAGTTTCGGGGGATCTGACATCCCCAACATTAGGTTGTATCGTTTTTGTTTCAAATTTATCTATACTAGTTAATTTATACTAATATTGTAGTGAATGAGAACACAGGTGGGGCAACCGAATTGTATTTAGCGAAATTACAGAGTTACTCAGTAAAATTGGAAAACCATATCGTAAATTGTTCATTTGCAAAATATCAGTTCATCATCATATCGAACTGGACTGTTCCTGTTGCAAAACATCAATCCATTGTCACTCACTATTCATGCGTTTCATACAAATTCCATTGTGTTTTCTAACTCTTCCTTTCTTGATCTTTCTCCATCTTCTGCTGCCAGACATTACGTTGACACTCACGTCATATACTACTTATAAGTAGCTCACACCACAATATAATCACTGATGATTATTATAATGACATTCATTGTTTGTTTGTTTGTTTTTTGTGTGTAAAATGTTACTGTGTTGTTAATATTGTTGTCTGGTCAGTCAGGGTGACTTAAATCAAATTTGTTAGAATATGTTCCATTAGCTGAATGAAACTACAACTCATCAAATGTATTTTAATAAGGCAAGAATTGTACCAGAATATTTAGGTAGTCTTATTTATTATGTGGATTTACTAAGATTGTTCACAATGTGGAAATTATATTTCAACAGGAATTATTGTACAAGAAAATAGCGAAATAAAGTTAGGTTCTCTTTGATTACATGAATGGGGTGCTCTACTTCTTAGATCGAATTGGCGAACAATTCCACCCTTGATTAGACACCCAGATCAGTAGTGTATCACGTTGAATCAGTTCAGAGCATGGACATGCTATAAGACTGTGGCTGGTTATATTCGTTGTAGTTCTCAAAATTTTGTAGTTCGCTCTTTCTGATAAACGTTATTATATAACATTCAGCGGTATATAAAATTCAGAAGACGACGGTACGAGGCATTGATGATATCTGTTATTATTGCACAATACCGATCACAAGAGCGCGAGCATTACAAATCGAATGCGAACCGGATATGAATGAGTTACCGAATTATATAAACAACTAACATTAAAGCTAGTAAGATGAATATCTGTGTAAGTTGTAATCAGTGTTCAAGCATATATATATATAAATCCATACAAACACGTTAATAATGATGATGATGATGATGATAATAATAGCACAAAAGATGTAGACAAAAATTTTTGCTGTATCACATGATGCTGTCTGTTAAATAAGTTAATGAAAGGGTTTAATCAAGTGTTAAACGCAAACAAACTCAAATGTAGGTGAAGTGTTATAACGTTATACTGTAGGGTAGTAAAGTAAAATTGACAAATCAGATATCCACTGGACTACATTTTCGTCTAGAAACATCAATCATCATCACTGTTTACTTTCACTTCCGTTACACGAATAATGGGCTTACTTCACACCACGAAATTCTCGATTGAAATGTTTCCGTTGACATAAATATT